AGGAGAGAGAGAGAGGAGAGAGAGAGAGAGAGAGAGAGAGAGAGGAGAGAGAGAGAGAGAGAGAGAGAGAGAGAGAGAGAGAGAGAGAGAGGAGAGGAGAGAGAGAAGAGAGAGAGGAGAGAGAGAGAGAGAGAGAGAGAGAGAGAGAGAGAGTGAGAGAGAGAGAGAGAGAGAGAGAGGAGAGGAGAGAGAGGAGAGAGAGAGGGAGAGAGAGAAAGAGGGGAGAGTGGAGAGACCGGCGAATGTCAATCTTGGGCTGGTCAGCCACCTCGCATCCCCTACTATGAGACATTCGTAAAGGTGCGAAGACATGTGGGCATGAATCAACTACCCCTGGGATCGCCGGGTTTGGGGCCCCATCAACCCCTAGGCACGCATCACAATCATGCCTTTAAACCTGAAGAGTATCACTAAGCATAGTTCCATCCATGTGCTTTAGACAGCGAGCAGCGCAATCCGGCGGACGACTTCGTGGAAGAGAGGAGTAGTGCCGTGCGATGCCTCCGACCCGTGGAGTACGCCACCGTTCGCATATAGCAATCCGAGTTTTCTATAAGGGGATGGCACGAACATGTGTCTTCTTGGGCATATCTCACATCAGGTCAAACAGTATGCTGCCACCCGAGTTTATTGTACCTGTGACAATTACACGCTTGATAAAACACTCCACGCTAGTACGCTAGTGGCACACCGACGGCACACGTAGCATCGCGAACCAAACGCACAAACGACTAGAGCACCACTATATCACGGCCAGCCACACGAGCGCTGCTGTCCTGTGACGCGAAAACGAGCCGGGAATGGCGCGCAGTCACAGTCCGCAGTCCGCGAGCAAGTCACAATGTCCCACCACAGCCGAACATGCGTCTGCGGCTGTGCAGTTGGGCCGTCCGACTGCTGCACGCGGCACGGGCAGCGCTTGTCAGGCCGAGGGCCGTCTCGCCCCGCTGATCCCCAACCCCGGTCACCGCAGCCAGCGTCACCCGCCCGCCACTGCCGGCGCCAGATGGCCGGCCCCGCGGCCCCAAGCACCACTGGCGATGGGCCGGGTTCGGCTGTCTCCACCTGCCGGGACGAACTACACGTCAAGTTCCGGCCGTCAGCACGGTGTCTAGCGGATGACATATTATATAGATGGCAGCACCGTCGTTCGCAACCTTTAGTCACGCAATCACGTATTTCCTATTAGGATCTGATGGGAAAATACGTAAGTCATGAATTAATTAACATATCAATTGATGACAACATACGTAATAAAGGATGATGAGCACCAACTTGCTCAGCATCGCTTCTCGCCAAATTGAATGTTCACATCCGCTCGGGTGGGGAGCCAAATTGCCCCCCCCCCCCCAAAAGGTTTTTCAAGAATGGCTTCCGAATGGAGCGGTGTTGTAGCCGCCGTCAAATTTTGCATAGCTGTAAACAATGGAATATCGGATCGTTTGGAATCAAAATTTAGATGTACCTTGTGTGGTCGCTGACCTGAATCAGGTCAAAATCAGGTTATGGTTTCAGCGAAGACAATTTCTAGGCAATCCTTCAATTTGATCCAACAGCGAAGTAGTTTTAAACAAAGCCATGCATCTCTGGGATGCCTTCTTAGGCAACAGAACCGTTGAATAAGGAAACTAAATTTGAACTCAGGTCATATATAAAGGTCAGGCCAAGGTCAAAACCAATCTGTTTTGTTACTCTAGGGCTTGCCGTATGGGATAGTTTCCGGTGCTCATTTCGAATTTATTGATGGCAGGAACCGCCTTATACATCATCCATGAAATTCTTAGAGATCAGAAAAGGTCATTGGCCTGAAATGACCTAAGTCAACATTTTTTTTTTAAAAAAAAGATCTTGCCTAGCGTAATCTTGTCACTTATTCAAATGCAAAACTCAAAGCAATCTTGCATTGACCTTGGTCACCATGGTCGCTATGACAAGGTCACCATGACCTTGAAAGGATCAAACGTCACTGACCTTAAACGAGCATGTGGCCTTTTGCCTAGAAACGGTTATCTAAGTTCTGGGGGCAACTTTGGAAGACGAACCTGGAATTTGACCTTGTATGACCTATTCAACCAGAAGGTCATGACCTAGGAACCTTGAAATTTTGACCTAAGTGAGTCCACGTACAGATCAACACACTCTGTAAATTTGGTTTTTTTTTGTCTCTAGTTTTCCTTAGTTCCCAGAGATCTAGGGGGATGGGGTCAAATTGACCCCCAACCGAGTAAAAGGTATCCAGCCGGCCACCGGGCGCGTGTTTTAAGCGAAGGCCGCAGCAGTGCAAATACCTTGCATCGGTGGTGAAATATCCCATCACTCACACAGGTTTTACAAATTGTCTGGCCGACACCGACCAACCTGAATGTGGCAGGACGTTACGAGCCCCCTCCCCCCCCCCCCCCCCCCCCTCCCTCTGCTTTGTTAGTAGTGTTAGTAGCATTGTGTTAGGCACTACTCGTGGTGCAGCAGAATTGCGGTGGCTTGTCCGAATGCTGGCAAACGCAATATCAGCGTGTGTGTCACTAACACACAGCCAATCTTTTTCGACGGCACGTCGAGCACGTTTCTATTACAGGACGGAAGGCTGTAAACAGCCAGATACCTGGATCAGGGGCGGAATTAATGTCATATATTAGAGAGTCAGTTGGGGAGAACTTTGCACTGCGAGACACATAATGAACAGCTGAGAGCCCAGAACGATCGCATAAGGGTCATCATCAAGTTGGAGCGGTTTGAACGCTATCTCACGCACCAAGCACTCTGCTTTCCAAGCCAGCTCCCACTGCAAAGCAGAGAAGAGCCTACAACTCAGAGCGGCGTTGGCTGATCCAGCGCGGAGCGAGTCGGCTCAGAGCAGGGCTGCAAGGCCTGACCGACCGTACCAGACCGGCAGTCAGTAGCACCAGACCACGGCATCAGGCCGGCGGCCAGCCACGTCACAGGACTAGAGGCGGTCCGCAGCCAACCATGTCAGGGGACGACACCAGGCCGGCGTCTAGCCACGTCACAGGACAAGAGGCAGCCCGCAGCCAATCATGTCAGGAGACAACACCATGCCGGCGGCCAGCCACGTCACAGGACGAGAGCCGGTCCGCAGCCAATCATGCCAGGAGAAGACACCAGGCCGGGGGTCAGCCACGTCACAGAACGAGAGCCGGTCCGCAGCCAATCATGCCAGGAGAAGACACCAGGCCGGCGGCCAGCCACGTCACAGGACGAGAGCCGGCCCGCAGCCAATCATGCCAGGAGAAGACACCAGGCCGGCGGCCAGCCACGTCACAGGACGAGAGCCGGTCCGCAGCCAATCATGCCAGAAGAAGACACCAAGCCGGCATCCAGCCACGTCACAGGACGAGAGCCGGCCCGCAGCCAATCATGCCAGGAGAAGACACCAGGCCGGCGGCCAGCCACGTCACAGGACGAGAGCCGGCCCGCAGCCAATCATGCCAGGAGAAGACACCAGGCCGGCATCCAGCCACGTCACAGGATGAGAGCCGGCCACCACACAATCATGTCAGGAGAAGATACCAGGCCGGCGACCGGCCACGTCACAGGACGTCCACAGGAAATGTGCAGAGCAGTAGTGAGAAACCTGAACAGCTGGAGCTGGCGGACGGCACGCCGAAAGCGACAAAAGGAGATGCCCGGGCAGCGGCCGGGACGGGGACGAACGAGGCACAATCGCCCCCAACGGCCCCCTAGTGACGAGCCCGCACTCGGACACCGCTGCCGGTGACCCAGCACCGCCTGGCGGCCAGCCGACCCGTCTGTCGCACTCACCCAGCCGGTCCCCGCGGGCCGTGCCGTGCCAACCGGCTCATCCCCGGCCGGTGAGCAGCGCCCAGAGCGCGCAGCCGGCGCGCAGCTGCAGCACCAAAGAGCCGAGGAAGAAACGCCTGCCGCAGCAGCCAGCCCAACATGTCCTGCTGGAGACTGCGCGGCGGCAAGCGGCGGCCGGTCGGCGTCGCGGCGTCCGCCCGCCAGCGGCGGGAAACCGGCCCGTCCGGTAGTACTCGGCCAGCCGCCGCCTCCTTCTCGCAGAAGAGGCCGTACAGCCAGCCGGTGAGGCCCTCGGTGTCCGTCGGTACCTGCGGGAAGTGGGGCTATTACGCTGGGGCCGGTCTACTCGCCACCAGCCGAGGTCCGGTCTCCGCTTCGGCCTCAGCTGGCGAGCTCGCGGGGTGGCTCAGATCGGATCAGCGAGCTAGGTGGCCGGAAGGACCGAAGACGCGCCAGATCAGGCACCGACACCACGCACACCACAGAAAGGCCGCCGTGCCTCCCCCAGCGGGGTGACACGTCAAAGCACTGCCCGCCATGAAGAACACCTTAAACACTTGCAGGCATCTGCTGGGGGTACTCTGGTGTCACGCACATCGCAGAATGCCATCCATATTCCACTGGTTGCCTTCATCCCGTCCAGTGCGAACGCAGGGATGAGTGACTGCCGCGCGTGGCAGGCAGCGCCCGCTCCAATGCGGCCGCCCTTGCGCGCGGTGTAGACAGCGGCCCCAGAGGTGATGGTACCCGTCACACAGTGTAGACAGCGGCCTCAGAGGTGATGGTACCCGTCACACAGTGTAGACAGCGGCCTCAGAGGTGATGGTACCCGTCACACAGTGTGGACGGCGAGTCCAGAGGCGACCGGGGCATGCCGGCCGACACTGACCTGGTCGATGCTGTACACGCGGTAGTAGAGGTACACCTTGCAGGGCGGCAGCGAGCCGGCCATGACGTCCAGCAGGTGGAGCGGTCGGTCCGGCTCCGGATACGCCACCGTCACGTCCACCACCCAGCGCAGGCCGGCGCGGCTCGGCCGGTCCCCTGGTGACGCAGGGCCGCGTGCCATCACAACGCGCCCGGCCAGACATCACAGCAAGCGAGACGACACAGCACACCCGCCCCGCTCTGCCGCTGCCGACACTGCGGCGTGTGCGCTCTCAGTCCGAGCGCTCCTCGCCCGCCATAGCCGGGCGCCCGGCCGGACACTGACCGTGGCCATTGGCGTGGCCGGCTTTCGGCCTGCTGGCCGGCCCTCAGCTGGTCGAGCACGGCGCGCGCGGCGCCCAGCCGCGGTAGCGTCACGTGCTGCAGGTGCGGCAGGCCTTGCTTCTGCGCGAACCTGCCGGCAGGCGCGCGCTGTCGTGTCAGAGGCAGAGGGTGCCGAGGTGGCTGCTGCCGACCGGCCGGTCAGTGGTAGGGGGCGCCACGCTCAGCGCCCGCCCGTCTTCAGGCTTAGGCACTGCAGTAAGCTGCACAACGGAGCAATTGACAACGTTGACGTGGGATTTGTTTAAAGCGAGTGTCTTAGGTCAGCCATGCACCTTATTCTCTTTTTGGCGACAGCATCATGCTAAAGGAATGCAGTGCTACATGTGAGAATGGGAAATATGTACGCCACCACAACATTGGCCTGCCATCTCGCGGTAAGCTGCATAAATTGCCTGCTATTAAGTTGTTTAATAACCAAAGTAATACAAACAACCTTGTTGCACAAATATATCTAACTTGCATCAAAATATTCAATAACAACTTCAATACATTTTATAACTCAATTAACTCAAATTACTTTTGTCCATGCCTGTGGGCAATGGCCTCAGCGTATAGATAAGTGCGGACAGTTGGATGTTACAGCCACCTGCAATGTGCACCACCATAGCGAGCCGTACCGCCGCACGGAGACATTACCTCTGGCTGGCTTCCCGGCGCTTTCGTAAGAATCCGCCTTCTGGAAAAAGTAGTATCCACTTCCTATCCAAAGATAAGTATTGCTTTGCAAGGAATTCCTTCAGTTCTTCCACTGATTTTTCCCTCTTGTCTTTTCCCTGGAAAAATGCCGTGGTAAAAAATAGCCAAAACACAAACCACTGACCCATAAACAAGAACAGCCTTCGCCAGACGTCCTCTAATCCCTCACTGCATCCCGGACACCAAGACAGTGTCAAGGACACTGATGCCGGTCTTAGTTGCCACAAACACATCTTGGCTGGTCACTGGTGGCGTCTTTATGTGAACTGTAAAGGCATGCATACTTGCAATCTTCTTCTCACAATATTTACTCGATGCGTAACAAACAAATATGTAGCCAGATATTCCGTTCTGCAGTCCCAGCCCACCGCTGAGCGAGCCGCCGCAGCTCACCGACTCAACGAAGAAGTCTCCGCGGATCTGTGACACGACACCGAAGTGGGTCCACCGGAACATGGCGTCCATGATCCACATGCTGTGGTCGGCAGCGTAGCGGCGCGAGGACAGCATGGCCATCAGCACCGGCACGTCGGCTGTCGACTGGTGGTTGGCCAGAAACAGGCACCTGTCGCCCAACAGGTCGTCGATCGTGTCCCCCAGCTCCGTCACTGCGGCGCACAAAGGTGTCGAGCGCTGTCACTGCCGCACCGGACGCCAACCACAGCTGTGGCTACAATGCGGTCACTTGTCCATCTCCATTATCATGATGTAACGAACTATCCATATCTAGCCTCGCTGCGATTATGCTTACCAGCAAAACTCATTAAGCGTATGTATTTTATATCTAACCATTGCAGTGGTTGAGCAAGCCAGAGGAAATAGCTGCAGTGCAATACAATTTCAAGGCATTCAATGAAAGCACCATCTCGAAATGTGTGATGACATTCCTGTCGTGGAAATGTTGCGCTTCTATGCTACAATACGAAGTGTAATGCATGGCAGGAGCACGCTTTTGCCGTATCATGACATTTATATTGCAACACTATACGAGTTAAGGAGAATGCTCAACTTTTTAAAATATTGTAACAAGCATCATATATGATGAAATTAGCATACTTATAACTATTGATACATACTTAAGTGTAAAAACTATTCTAGACGATACAATTGCTCTATTTGGTGATTATGCTCTTCAATGCATCATTGATTGTGGTTTCAACCTTGCACAGCAATGATTGAGAACCATTTGACCGCCGATATGTCTGGGAGGTGTGCTCACGAACGTCAGATATGAACAACTTGACAATCATATTTGTATTGGTCCTGATCGCCGCATGATCAATGGAGTGACACAATTTCAATGACGTTATTACGGAGTCATGGATGCTTGGGTAACTATGGCATCGTCTGCGAAAGTCTGCAGTTTCGCGGGCGTGTTATTAAAAAACTATATGGGTTTCGGTGTTAACAAGGGCAGAGATGTGAACTGCGCCGAATGGTTTTAAAAGGAGTGCGTCTAGTGTTTTCGATTTTCCAAATAAACGCCTACGGAGAGTTTTGCAGCTAGCTATGGTTAATTTTGGCGCTTTAATGTGTGTTTTGGTCTTGCAGCATTTTTTTAAAACTTATTTTCAAAGCTCGTATCGATGGCTGAACGAACGCTGCATGTATCGATGGCTTGCGTGAACAAATACAATGCTAAAAAATGAACCAATCAGCGGGCAGAAAAGGACGAATGCACGGGCTGATGTGTGGCAAGTAACTGTGTGCAAGTGCCATGGCCATTATTTTCGTTGCTACGGTCTCGTGCGTATAGGGAGAGCGCTGAAAGTATGCAGCGGTACGCACTTGAAGGTCTCTTGCTCAATTCGAGACGGAAAAATATGATACCCTGCACATGCCTGGTGTACCAGCCACATGGCCGCAACAATTTCAGCGCATGTGCCTTTTTATTTCAGTGCACGTGGAATTCGGTGCACGTGCATTTGGAATTCGGTCATTAATTTCAGGGTAAAGGAAGTCGCGGCCAAAACAACTCGGAACAATCGCATTCTCCTAGAGTCTAGTGCAGTCTAGTGCTAGCAATCGACATCTTCGAAAAGCCATTGACTAGAGCTAACAATACCTTCTCAATGAAGTCGATGTGTTTAGTAATGAATATCGCTTGGGGGCTATCCGATAACTTCGTTCTTCTATACAGACCAAGGCAAATTTGGGGGTCGTGGCAATATCTCGGCAGTGGAGGCGAAATGGTAGAAACCACAATGACACCAAAAATTATTGATGGAAATTCCCTATCATCCTACGTGCAAAGTTAAAAATCCCAACTCAACTGAACGCACTACCTTTAATATGGTTAGTTCAGTTCAAAACCCCATAAGAATATGAAACACTCCCGATAATGCCTGGTATGAACAAAAAACATCTTAGCTCCTGGCTTTTCCTCGCTGTGCCTAGACCTTAGCAGATGCATGCAACGGGGTTAAGAGATGCACCCCCCCGAGCAGCGGCAGCGGCGGGAGCGGGTCTGTGATCTCACAGTCATAGCCGGCCGTGTAACTGAGGATGCCGACCATCTGCACCAGGCTGTGGAAGAGGAAGCCCTCGAACCACCAGTAGAAGTGTGGCGCCAGCCAGTGCAGCGGCGACAGCAGCGCCATCCACACCAGGTACACCGGAATGGCATACAGGTTGTTCAGCAGGAACAGCAGCACCCGGCTGGCGCATCGTGCGCTGTGCAGGCACCTGGCGGAGCGAAGCATGAGCGTCACACGCGGCTGTACACTGGGGGGGGGGGGGGGGAATACGAGCGTCGCACACGACTGTACACTGCAGGCACCTGGGGGAGCGAGACATGAGCATCACACGCGACTGTACACTGGGGGGGGGGGGGGGAATACGAGCGTCGTCGCACACGACTGTACAAACTGGGGGGGGGGGGGGGATACGAGCGTCGTCGCACACGACTGTACACTGCAGGCACCTGGGGGAGCGAGACATGAGCGTCACACGCGGCTGTACACTGGGGGGGGGGGGGGGGGGGGGAATACGAGCGTCGCACACGACTGTACACTGCAGGCACCTGGGGGAGCGAGACACGAGGCATCACACGCGACTCACACAGTGCCGGGCACGACACCTCGGCTCCAGGCGGCAGAGCGGCTGCCGCGCGGGGCCCGACCCTCGCATGGAGTGAGAGGGGAATACGGTCAGCGGCGTGATCCAGCGTCAAGTGCGACACAGTGAGCTGGATACGCTTTTGAGGCTGGGGTGGGAGTGGAAAATTCCACCGCAAAAAGAGGGTACAGAAGTGAAAAAATGCAAGTTACCAAAGCTGGAACTCACGAATCAGTGACAGATACTCTGGCTGACAAAGACACATTTCAAGCCAGCATGGACCTAATATAAACATCGTAACACCATAAACAAGACAAAAAGTTTCTGTCTTCACATTTTAGGTTATTACAATGAAACAGAATAAATTATATTAAGTAATATAATAATGGCGTGATAAGGAACAACAACTGTGAACACCTAACGTTCTGGTTCTGTACTTTGCACTTCCTTCTCCCGGGATATTTTAGCGCAAAACAGAGCAAAGGAGATCAACAACAAAAATAACAATAAAATATTTAACAAGCGTAACGCATTCAAATGAAAGGAGCCATGGACTCCTGCACATCAACACATCACCAAATCAAACAAACAACAACTGACATTCTTTTGGCTTCTGTTAAGATGGGGCAGGAAGTGTAAATGTTATGTCACTATTCCTTGCAAAATACTTATGCTTACCCCCACAAAAGTTTCTTAACTAAGCCTAACCTAAAAAGCCTCGCCCATGTCACCCTGCCTAACCTATTTGTATTACATCAGTATTTGTAAGTCACTGATCCTGGCGAAATTCTTACTGCTGCTTACCATGTACGCAATCAGCTTAGCCAAAATATCGTAGATCCTAAGGAGACCTGGCGCGCAAGAGATAGCGAGAAAGGAGACGGCTGATCAAAATATTGAATCAACCCATGAGCCAGCTTTGACCGTCCTCTACTTCGACGACCGCGAAGGCATAACATACATGAGCCACGCACAACCACGAGAATGCCATCGCTGAGTCAGGCAGCAGCCACGTGACTCACTTCACGTTCGAGTCCGGCCGCGCCCTGTACTAGCTCGACGAGCTACACTCCGTGAGCTCACAGTGCGATGGTCACGTCAATGTGCTCGGCTGCGACGACACGGCTGCGAACACCGGGGCGACAGGCGGCGTGTGCCGGCTGTTTGAGCTCGTCACCGGGTCACCCGTACACTGCTTCATCTGCCAGCTGCGTGGCAACGAGCTTAACCTCCGCCATTTGCTGCTGAGCCTGAACGGCACGACCACGGGACCGAAATTTTCCTGGACCCATCAGCGCCGGAGAGGTCTGGGACACGGGCGTTGTGTCAATAGAGCCTATGGCGGGGCACGTGCCAAACCTGCCGGTCGGCCTGATCCAGCAGCCGAGCACAGACTAGCAGCTGCTGTACCTGCTGGTCTCCGCTGTTCAAAACGGCTCGGTCCGAACCGCGACGGCCCGGCGGTAAAGCGGACCATCGAACCACGCCAGGTAAATATGAAAACGCATATCTTCGAATTTATAGCAATGAATGTTTAAACTGCATAACGTATCACTCGCCATTTCATATGCTCACTGTTGAGCATTTACTCATTATCATGCGTTGTACCATAGTATGTTAAATCATTTACTCGTTGGTTCATGCTACTTTACAGAGGCGCAATAATTTCCCCATGATCTAATGCTTAGTTCGTAACGAATTGTTCTAATCTATTCGCTTTTGTTTTCGGATGGTTGACAATGGGCTCTCGCCTGCCCCTGGCTTGCATACCTACTGAGACCTCCAGCACCACTCTCTAGGACCTCGCCCAGTACGAGGTTGGCTGTCCACTATGTGCCGGTATGGTCCGCCATCCTGCAAAACAGCAGTTGCGACTTCGGCTCGCGCAACTTGTTTCGGAGCATTGCCCTACTCCGCGAGCTGCCGCAGCACACATAAGCCACGGTTCCGCCAGTCCCCCAGCGCAACGGATACTGGGCCCGTCGGGAACAGCTGCTGCTGGACACGATGGGGGACGAGAACCCTGCGGTCCGCGAACAGGCGGCTCCGGTCGTCCCGCCGCGCGTGATCAGCAAACCGAGGATCTTTTTCAGCCCAGGGTCTCCGCCCATCCCAAGCGATAAACTTCGAAGCCGTGGGTTACACCAAACTGATCTGGCGCGGGCCAGTTACACAGCCTCCACCGCGAGACCTCAACGACGGCGAGCTGCGGGACAATTGAGGCTCCGCTGGCCATCCCGCCTAATCCGGTTCCCACCCGGGCGTGGAGAGAGCCGTGCGCACCGTACCCCGAGGCGTGTTCGGGGCAGATGGGAGAAGAGGCGCGGTATGGCCCCAACACGGCCAAGCTCAGGCAACGCTAGATTCTCCCAGCGTCTAGGAAATATTTGCTGCCCTGTAGGTAAGCCGGTAATTGTTAACTAATCACATGCTCAAAAGCATCAGACCCCCATTTTAACTCCAATTTATTATACAATGGCTCGAACCAATATCTAGCTTTATGCTTCAGTTTGGTCAACATGTTAACTGAAAATGCACGCATGATCACAAGGATGCACTGTGTCCGCGTTTTCAGCAATTCACGGTTGCTGTGCTTCCATTACAGCCCCTTTAAGTGGTCTGCCGCTGGTGGTTGGTAACAGCAGACCACAGCAAGGCAGCCGCCGCCGTCGCCGCCGCCGCCGCCGCACCGTTCCGTCCGCCCCCACTGTCCAGATGCAGGACAGTCATTCGAGAGCCTAGATTGGAGAGCGGGGCCGCTTGACCATCACTTGGCGCCCCCACTGAGCGTTTGGGCCGGCGCATCGGATGCGCAGGCTTGGCCAGGAGCAAGATGTGCACGGGGTCACCCTAGTCCCCCTCTACGCCCGTGACGCGGGCTGCAGACCTTGCTTTATGTATTCAGTTGTAAGATGTATTGTGTTGTGTTGTGTTGTATGATGTATTGTTGTAAGATGTTGTAAGTTGTATTCAGTTGTAAGTTGTATTCCGTTGTAAGTTGCATTCAGTTTTAAGTTGTATTTGTATACCAGGCAATACATTCTGAGTCCTATGCTATGCAGGGTTTCGTTTTGCAGCACGTGAGTTGTCTTAAGCGGTGGAAGGTCTGAAGAGTACGTACCAACGTACTCGTACGAGTTCACACTCACAGCGCAACAATTTCCTGCCACGCGACAATAGATCGGGCAATGTCTAATCCGCGTATTAGATCTCAGATCGGGATATTTTCATACGATGGTGTAAGAAATGTTCGGTAACATCGTTTCCATACATGAAGCTATTTTTGTACCGCTTGCCGCCCACGGCTTGGTGTTACCTGCGGCGGCAGGCGCCGCCCAACTTGCGGTGACCGCAACGCCTTATGTCGGTTTGCAGAGATATTCTGATTGGCTCGCAGCATCATGAATTCAGGTTTTTAGGATGTTGCTATAGCCGTGCACTTTTGGGCTCCAGCGCCAGGAATTTATTTGTCTCACTGGCTTTGTTACTGATGACATACCCTAGTGTCCAGGTTATGCGGAGCCTTGTTCATGCTTGATGGTGTTTCAAGCGAGCTTGGTTTTGGCTGACGTCTTTAAATCTCTGAAGGGAAATATGGGCTTGGTATGTGTGGTTAAGCAACATCAGGAAAGAATAAAAAATTCACATAAAATATGGGGAAAAGGGGATGCAATTTCCTTCTCATAGGCTGTTGCATTACACCCAAAGTCGGCGATTCTGGGACAATGGCATTAAAGTTAGTTAAGCCTCTGACCGGAAGCATGACTTCCCTTAGTGTTTTACGCACAGGGCGGTTACCCGGAAAAAGATCAACATTTCCTGGTTTTTGCAGTAGGGCGGATCACAACGAGGCCAAAAATGAACGCCAACGCAACGAAGGAGTCCACACTGGATCCCCCACGTGAAACAAATTACGTAAACAAATTTTGAGCTGTGTGTTCCCAACCTTAGAAGCAAGAACATCGATGGCCGGGGTTACAGTTTCGATGAAGCCGAGCGACTTCGGGCTGCGCTGCAGCTATCACCGGGCGGCGGGCGCCTCAAGCGCCTAGAAAAGCCGTCGTAAAATAACGTTTCCGAAAGTCTTTCTAAATCAATCCGTGCCGGTCAGCTATGGGTTTAGGCGTACATCTCGCCGGCATACTTTCTGGATTTTAACTGAGTGGAATTAACAGCGACGGTCACCCCGATAAGATGAGATTCTACAATAACTTGTCCCGTTCCATGGTCAAATTCAAACCTGCCAGAAGTATTGTGAATGCTATTACGCTCCTTTCTAGTCTGAAAATTGTTTAGGTGAACATACGCGAGGATTATTTCCTTACGTACGAACTGACACCCTCAAGTGTTTAACCATACTCTTTTCGAAAACAATATCTTTTGTGTTCGCGCCCACTGGCCTTCGGCCTAATGTTAGCCACAGGACAAACGGCGCGCGGCCTACGGAGACCAGACTAACCCGGACGCTGTCAAGTGCAATGCGAAAGCGACCACAGGGCAATCCGGACGCTGTCAAGTGCAATGCGATAATGATCACAGGGCAATCCGGACGCTCTACACTTGTGCATCGACTCCGACTGTCGAGTCCGCATGTGCCCCTATTCGAGCCAACAGGCCCGGCGGCCGCG